CTTGTGTTTCGCGCGCTCATATGACCTTATGTAGTTGCGAGCGCCGTAAAACCCCATACTAAACTAAAAAGATGGATGATGATGATGATGATGATGATCATGATGATGATGATGATGATGATGATGATGATGATGATGATGATGATGATGATGATGATGATGATGATGATGATGATGATGATGATGATGATGATGATGATGATTTATGCGCCCCTAAAACCTATTCCTGATCATCCTGTTCCAGCCTGATACGAACTATATCGATAAGGATGGACATGAGAAATCGAAGATGTTGAACTAAGGATGAAGAGAGATGGTGATCAATGCCCAACGCTCACAGCTTTTGTTTTCATAGGAGAAGTTTAATGCACGATCTGTAGTAGACAGATAATCATGAAGAATAGACAAGCGAGTATAATATACACCTTTAAAAAAAAGAAGAAGGAAACCAAGTAAAGACAATGAAGGAGGTGAACCTCTTGTTGGTTTGTAGTGGATATATTCATTACCATAATTCCCAGAAGAGTAAAATTACAAAGTTATGAAGAGGTGAATCGTATTTTAAAAATCTGCAATGAAGATGATAATTCTGGGGGTGAAAAGTGATAGGCCAAAAGTGCTGGTGCTTGAAATCGAACATAAGTGTACGTTACGTTCTATATTAAACGTTTCTCTTTTTGTATATTATGTTGTGAGAGGTGTAGAAAGATCAGATGCTGAATGCCAACATTTAGCACTCTTAGCAGAATTTAAAAAATGTGCTCTTCTCATTGTATTACCTTTCTGCATTGTAAACAGAGCACTCAATCTGGCATCCAATCCCATCAATCGTGGGTGGAAAATAAAGGAGAACGACGGTGTGCGCTAGGGGTGGTGAGGGAAATGGTGGAGAGAAACAATTCAGCCTTACTGCAAATGGCTTGGATATACGGCAGGCTTCGGTAGCTATTAACAAAGATTAATAGCAGAGGTAGCGATGCAAACACAAGGAGAGGGGGCAATGATAGTGTTATGGAACTATCGGTAGAAAGAATAGAGATCTTGGTCATGTTATCATAGTTGGTAAGCTTAAATATTTTTGTACAACAACTTTATGAACACAGGGGAAAATCGTTAAATGCTTTTCACTCTTGTTTTAATTATTTCATTGTTGAGACATGATTGCGACGCATAATTTTTACCACAATATATTTGTGACGAATAAACTGAAGCCTGTGAGCTGACCCACGGGCATTGCCCAATTACTTTCACTGAGTAATGTTGATCCCTAATTAACGTTAGTCCATCCTTTCATGGACGAAACAGCGCGTCGTGATGTTCACTTTGTTATCCTGGGACACGGTGCACTACCAGGTTGATAACCACCCAAGTGCAAAACTTACAGTTTGCAAAGAAGAAAACTGCAATAGAAATAATCACTTGACCTGTGTAAGTATTCCAAATTCCGACATATGGCGGCCATTCGTATGGCTAATAGAGTCATAGTGATAAGTAGCAACCGGCACACAAGCGGGGTTGGATTTGAGTGCACAGTTGTGAAAAAAATTATACCCGTGGGTTTGATTTGTTGGAATAATATACGCTGACTGAAAGTTGGCATTTTGCCAGAAAGGATAAGATACCGAAAACCGGAGAATCCTGGAAGCAGAAATCATGAAAATACTGTTGACAACGACGACAGGCTCATTCAAGATCATCAACCGTTGCTATAGATCTATATGGTGTCAAGTGCCACTGAGTATTCATCGTCTTTAATTTAAATCAAAGTGATACAAATTACATCGAAAAGCTCTGCTCACAGTGTAATGGACGTTGCGCCTTGTTATATTCGACAAGCAGAACTTTAAATAGCAATTTAAAGCCACAAGACTGAAAATTTCTCACTGTGTACTCGCTTTATTCCTCCCATCCAATAGTTGATAAGATTTAGGTTAACAAATGTGGTAATAGTGAAAGCAATTAGCCATTCAGGTTGAATGCAACAAGCAACAGGTGATAGACTAGGCTCTTGTTTCGCACATTACGACCAAAACGAAACTGGTAGTTCATTAAGTGGCAACGGTAATGGCTCATCAGTGCTGCCACTTGAAGGGATTCTCTGCCGAAGAATTGTAAGGTCTGTTAATGGGCATCGAAGAGCCAGCAGGGGGACTGTAGAGTTACCATGCCTATCATAATTACCAGCATCATCATCATCATCATCATCATCAGCAGCAGCAGCAGCAGCATTATTCAATTGTTCAGATAGGTGGTCCTCTGAATGTCTGTCTACTCTTTCTCAGGGAACTTTGTTATCAAATTGTGAGATCCCCGGCCTACGTCATCGTGTAGTAACAGGCAAAGGCGTCCTCAGAAAGTATCTTACAAAAGTGTGTTGGATTCAGTTATCGCTCAAGTAGAAAAAGACACAAGAGATATTGTGAACCGGGAGGGAAAGGGGGTGGGGGGGCCGTGCATAGAATGTAGAAGGGAAGTGAAGCACGATTTGCGGACACATTGTGTTTGTCAATAAAAATTAAGTTTGTTAAAACAACTTGAGTTTTAGTTTGAAGTAGCTTTTTTTAAATGTTTGCTAAAAGGAAATAGACAAATAGCACAATAACATAGTTGAAGAAAGACACACACAGAAAGATGGAGGGAGAGAGAGAGGGAGAGAAAGAGAGAAAGAGAGAAAGAGAGAAAGGGAGAAAGAGAGAGACACAGAGAGAGAGAGAGAGCGGGAGAGAGAGAGACAGAGAGAGAGAGAGAGAGAGAGAGAGAGAGAGAGAGAGAGAGAG